AAGTCTCTCCCCTGTCTCCTCTCTCCCCCTAACCTATAATCTGAGACTGTAAAAAGTGATGCAGGCTAATGGCATGCCAGATATTAACTACCATAATCATTGAGGCTGTCATTCCATTACATCAGGCACAAAAAGCATAGTAATTTTTGTTAATCGTGTTCCTATCCTAGCTATTTGTTAGTGGGTTTTTTTAACAGCAAAATGTATAATTGGGTTGATGATTTTTATCTCTTAGAGAAAAATATAATTAACATGGTGAACTAGTGCTGCTGTGTAACAGAAAAAATCTGAAATGAGATTATGACAGATAGTAAGAAGAACTTCAGAAGGGAAATAATATAAATGCAGCTTGCTTCTCTAGGGCCATTTCCTTTTGTTGTATCCATGCCGTAAGGAGTTTAGTGCACTAGTGAAGGACACAAACAGGAATCCTGACAGATTTTTGCTTTTCCTGTGTCTTTTCTTTTGTAGTATTGGCAGTAAAAGGAAAATTCATTTTCAGATTTCAAATATCTTTTTCTACAGGCTATATTGCCTTGGGGCCCTTGATCTAACTGTATGCTTATACTCTGCATACCTATGAAAATCATACCCAAATTTTAATTTTAAGAACTTTAACTTCCGTAGCCTACTTAGACTTGTTTTCTTGACCAGTGCTTTCTTTACCAGCTCTCTACAAACATCAAACTGATTAAACTCTCTTGGAATTTTTTTGTGCTTTAATTCTATAGATCTGCTATGGAGCTTACAATAGATCCTCATTTAATTGAAACAGTTAAATCCAAATCAGATTTGAAGTTCTGTGTATAGCATTATTCAAGAAAACTTTACCTTAACAGGTGACTGTGTAAGAGCTGATGGAATATGTGCTAGGTGCCTGTTGAGTGTGCGTGTGTAATACAGTATTTTATTTTTTGCAAAGGAAAAACATAAGCAAAAGCATTTGATAATAACAATAACAATTTATGCACAAAGTCTTTTTATTTCATTAAATGTGCGGGAAATCTACAGTCTAGATCTACTTTTGCTCATGAAGAAAGAAATTCACCAAATATAAAGGGCTGTATTCAGCATGAAATCAAAACTATTTTTACTCTAAGCAGAAAATGTCAGTCAAAAGTGGCAGGAGTATTGGGTATTTTCAGGCACTCAGAGAATTCAGGCTTATAATGAGAAATTAAGTTCATAAAAATACTCCTTTTCTATCCTATTTTAAGTGAAATGAGAAAACTGATCACTCATTTTATGTGGAAAATAAAGAGTCCACACAGAGACAGCCTCTTTCTTTACTTTTTACTTTCTTTCAGTGTAAGTTGTTATTTTTTCATCCCATTTCGGTTGCATCTGTGCTAAGAATAAAGACATTATACTGCTTGCTCTCTCTGTTTTGACATGAGGTACCTCCCTGGTTAACTCAATGGTTATTTCTTTTACTCACTAGGCATAAATCAAAACTCTGTTCACATAAAAATTCCTTTTTTGTAGTAGAGAATCACAGGTAAATGGTTTTTGGTCCAAATTCAGTGTAAATAAAAGGACTCCTATTGCCTTTGGTCAAGTATTTATCAGGTGTTTGTTTGGAGAGGATGTGAAAGGCTTAGTGGGCAGCTCAAACAATGTTCTGATTTACCTTTTGGCCTTTTTCATTCAAAAAGTTGCTGCAAAGTTCCATTATATTTAACTGTAGTATGATATTATCAACCTTGTTACTGTTGCTACCTGCTTTTTGTGCAAGGAAGACTGGTATTTCTGCTTTTTCTCTCTCTTTTCCGAGCGCTTTATATAATAACCTCCTTTCAAGCCATTCCTTTAATGTAGAGCAATACTGCGTCACACAAAATGTGAAGGTGATGAGCTGAGTTCCACTGAATCTTCTGCTGTTGATTTAGATGCAGTAGAGTCAGCAACAGACTCTTAAAACTCCAACTGGCAATACATCAGGTTTTCTGATGATATGCCCTAATGAAAAGGGAGTGTATTACTGCTTCTCTAACCCACAGCGATATTTTGTGGTGTTATAACTGTGCAAAATGCATTTTCCCCTTGCTACAAAGCCTCTTCAGAAAACATATCAGACATGTGAGGATAAAGAGTGTGTGGAAGATTTGACCTTGCTGCCAACTTTCTTTTTGCCTCCCAGAGAGGAAGAATTGCTCTGAAGTGTTTCTTCTCAGTTTGATAATTTCTCCCTATCCCAAAAAGCTTACAATAGCTCATGTGCACTTCCCTCACTCTTGATTTTGTTTTGGCCATTGCACCACAATATAGGCAGACAAATTAAAAATGTAAAATGTACGTGATAAGGTTGTAAGAGCAAATGTCATTGTTGTGCAAAGATAACAGGGCTGTGTGCGTTTGAGGCAATATAAACTGCTTTTGTAAGTATTCACAGTTAAAATCTTACAGAAACCTTAGACTCCATGAAAGGCAGAGCTGGCAGTGCTGTTGGTGATATGCGGCAGAGCTCCATTAAATTTGAAGGAATTCTATTAATTCACAATGATGGTATGTTTGCCCTGCATTTCTATAGCCAGAAGACAGACCCAAGAGAGCTGCTTGTCCTGCCTGTTATACATGTATGTGTTTACTAGGGAAGATTATTTTTTTTTTATTTAGTTCAAATAGCTACAACTCAAATATTGTATTACACACATGATCACATATGTAGACTATGTTAAGACAATGTCTAATAAGAATTTGAAACTGAAACAACTCAAAGTTCAGGTTGCTTGATAAATATAAAATTGATTCTTTTGGTCATGTGTGTTAGGATTTATACTTTAATTAAATTACTGAATTAATTTTTTGCAGTAGATTTTTGCCCAGTTCATTCTATAGGGTGAAGCTGCTCTGGTACTGAAGCCAGCTCTGTGTTGAGATAAAGGACTGTTGCTGGTAAACTACTTATGTGCAGCTGTCATGGAAGTTGGAAAGCGGACTGTAAATGATACAGGATACTTTAGCAAAGAGAAGGGATCATTAGGATCAACTCATGATGAAAGCAGCTGCCCACTCTCATAAAGAATGAATTTCATTCCTACCCATGCCACAAATGTCCTGTGAGATCCATTTTTTTCAAGATGATCCCTACCTCTGAAAATCTAATTTCTGGATGCCTGAATTGAAGTTCTGAGGTTTGGTCTGCCAAAATACAGTCACTCATAGCTCTGAGTAGCATTAGTGAAAGCTATATTTAAAACACATACAGTGATATTGCTATGAAACCCACATTTTTCTCATGATCTCCTGACAGTCAGCTGATGACCCAATAAAAGAAAATTTAAAACCCAATACTTGAATGTGGCAACATTTCTTGTACAGTTACATGGTGATCTTACCTGAAACTGGACAGTATACTTCAACATAAAGCAGTTCTGTCATCCCTGGCTACAAAATAATAAGATAAAGGGGATGACCGCTTGCTTGAACTAAGGGAAACTCAGACAAACAGAAACTAATTCACATCAGAATTCAATACCTTTCCAATGGAAGGCATGATTTTGCAGTAATTGCCTTTGCTTTCCAGGAGAGTTCCCTCTGCAAGTGTGAAGTCAGCCTGCAGAAGTTTTCAGCTGACATCTTTTCAAACTATATCTGCGTTTCAAAATAATGATACTTAGAGGTGCCACTGAATGTCTTTCTGATGTTGACTTTTCATTGCTGTTTAAAATCTTTGAAAATAGGAACATCTGTAGGCTTGCTATACGAGTTGACTTTGTCATGCATAGTTAAGGGCTAAACCAGAGGGTATGTAGGCATAAATGAAGAGAGAAAATTTATAAGAATGTTCCATTGTTACAAAATTTTAATTCATAATGATACTGGATTGCAAATTGATGCAAACAAATATTTTTGGACTTTTTGTCACCTGCAGTTATAATTTATGAAGGTATCAATCATGGGTCTTTTCCAAGACAAACCCCAAGAATATACAGCTTTGTGTATAGTTTTACATGTTTTCACATTTATTTGTGATTTGACAATTATGATATTTTAATTTTGCCAACCAAAAGACCAAATATGTTCCCTGATTATAATCTACCATAATCTAGAAAAATACCAGTTTTTCCTGTTTCTATTATGAATTTGTCACTTCAAGCCTTCACATTCAGCCCTCTGTGTCTGGTCAAAAAGATACTTGAGGTTTCCTGTGTTACATGTTCTTTGGAAATATGACACCATAAATAAGTCAATAACTGGTACGTCTTGATAAAGTCAATTAGTGTAGCAAAAACATTATATCTGTGTCTAAGTGTATGTATATATCAAAATTTTAAGCATAAGAATCGTAATAATTTGAGTAAAACTGACATAATTGCTACAGTCTTGAAAAAAACTTCATGACACTTAATTAAACGTGAATCTAATGGATTGACTAGAGTGTATGTAGAGCAACGTCTTCATGCTAAAGCTTTGCTCTGTAAGTAGCTTCTTGTCTTTCAGTGGAATTATTAGATTAAGCAAGGATTTGAAGGTTTGAACTTACTTTTTTCTAAATTCTTGTTGTGTTTCCATTAACTGTCTAATCTTGAAAAAGCTAGCTTTATATTTCCAGTCTTTATGCGCTAACAGGTTACCTCATTTCAAAAACATAAGTCATCGTTGATGACAGTCTTTTCTCAGTACGTAAAAATACTCAGAGTGTTTGTGTAATGGAAACTTCTAGGCAAAGATAACTTTTGGAGATACTACTTGATCTTAAGGCTTATTTTTTAAATCTTTGAAAAAATTGATATGGCTGATACTGGAGGGGACCAAAGAAGTGTCCATGAGGGAAAGTGATTGATAGAGTGGAGACTAAGAAAGAATAAGAACACAGTAATCTTCTACATGTTTTCTCTGCAGTTGATTTGTAGCATATTATATTCACTGAATCCAAATAAATTATTACCTAATATAGTAAAAGGATCTGGAAAAATCACAGGCTGATGTATTTTGTTGTTAAAATCTCAGGCAATCATTTTTCAAAACTAACATTTAATGTTTTCATTGTGTCTCAGGTTCCCAGTCTGAACCTTCGTCATGCAGTGCCAGTTCCATCACCTGCCCATCTGCCTGCACCTGCAGCAACAATGTAGTGGATTGTCGAGGAAGGGGCTTAACAGAAATTCCAGCTAACCTACCAGAGGACATTTGGGAAATGTAAGTGCCAATATAATGCACCATTCTTTTCCACGTCTCTCTGTTTTTGTCCATGTTACAGCCTCCTGTGTGGAAGAAAGGCACGTGTTTTGAAAGCCGTTCTGAGCAGTTATCAGGCATATTGTAGTTGTCCTCTTTGCTTCCGTTCTTTTGATCTAATGGCTCAAACCATTCTTTGATGTAAATTACGGTATTGTTTGAAGTTGCCCTACCCCAAAGCAAGATGAATTTCTTGGCATATTGCGCTCAAATTGTGTTTACATCTCACAAATCAGTTCTGCTGTCAGGAAAAGGAAATACATAGTCCTTTTTTTTTTTTTAAAATCAAATTGTTTTATTTTTAGTTGGTGAATTCCCCAAGAGATGGAGAGATTTCTTGTTAGCTTGGCAGGATGCATTTGTAATGAAGTATGACATCAGAACACATTGTCCCTGCTGATTTTGCCTTCAATTTCTTGTCTCCCACATTTTCTTACTCCCAATTCTTTAACACTTCTGTGGCATTTTTGTGTTGTAAAATCAGATGCTCGTTTTACAGACTTGTTTGTCTTTACTACCTTTAGGAATTTTAATAATCGATTTTTGCATCCATGACTTCATACTACTGTGATCCTGACTGTTACATTAAACCAAGTTGCTTTTGGCTGGTCCATAGGGAATGCAGATCAGTTCTTTTCCTATTGAGGTGCTTGTCGTACAGAGCTTACTGACATCCAACCTGATTTTACAGTCTACATACTATGGATTCAAATATTTGTATAGTCACTGGACTCATTCAGCTTCTCGTTGCTGTAGAAATACTGCTACATAGCAAAATTCCCTAGAGTAACGTGTAAGTTGACTTGTTTTTGTGGTAGCCTGGCCACTATGATATGCCAGGAATGTGAAAGTTATGGCCAATGAAGATGATGTGCTGTATTATTTCCTGGTGATCTGCTCTACACCACCACTCCTCTGTCACTTTATCAGTTGTTTTTATAATTTAAGATTCACCTGAATTTGGATTGCTATCTCAGCACAACAGTTTAGGGGTAGCTTATGCTTGATTGTGGATCTCCACAGAAAAGATATATTAGAAATGAAAAAATTAGCTCAGTAAATGCAAAGAATAAACAAAATCTTAAAATTAACATTCTTGAGAATATATCTAGAGCATGTAAAAATGTTTACAGGAAATACAAACTCTTATGCAAGCTGTTCTGAATGCCCATTACGTGCTTGCTTGCCTCCTGACAAAGTTCAGAATGTGTTAGTTGTGTTCATTTCCAGTATATTGTGGAACACAAAATATGCATGTAATACTTGTTTTTCTCTGCATGAGTCGGTTAAAATTATCCTGAAAATATAAATTGTGTTTGACATACTATGAATATTCAATGTTTAGTCCTGTTTCCAGTTCTGTCAGATGGAGTACAAATTTTCAGGAGTGGCTGGAATGGTTCAATAATAAGAGACAGAGGATGAAATTGGTCCAGACTTGCTCACAAATCAGGGTTGGCTAGTAGAATTTTAAAATTTTATTTTGTAGTGTTGAAAATGCTAGCAGAAATCGGATGATCTTTGTGGCGCCATGCCAGCCACATAGAGAGCAGTATCTGCCGGAAGACTGAGATTCGTGTGCTCCGGCACTCTCCTGACAGCACTGCACCTCAGTGTGATAAAGCAAGTGCAAATGTTCACCTTCGGTGTGGTTGGTAATAATATATCAAGTATCCAAGTCCTGTCTCCAATTTGGTTGCTCCTTGCAGGGGGAGTTGGACTAGATGATCTTTAGAGGTCCCTTCCAACCCAATTGGATTCTGTAATTCTGTCAGAATAAGTCTTAGTGAGTGACATCACTTACATATGTTTTTTCCTACTGGTAAAATGTTGTTTTCATTTTGTAAAAGTACTAGTGAAAAAGAGCAGTTAACCTTATATCCAAGGGCAAAGTATTACATACTCTCACACAGAGTAAAGGATATAGTTTCTTGAAAGATGGAAGAAACTGCTGCAGTGTTTTCCCAGAAAAATCATGACATAAATTCTTGTGATCAAGACGGCCATTCTGGTATACGCAGAAGTCTCTCATACTGCTCAGAAATTCAGTTTGTCTGAGGCTGCTTTGGCCTTATTCAATATAAAATCAATCCAGAGGTATGGTTCCAGCTGCAAATGGAATAACGACTGTCTTTTGATTTGATACGATAGGCAGAATAATACGCTTTTGCTGTAATGTTATAGCAACGGGGCCAAGAAAATTCTCCCTACATGCTGCAATGCACATTTCTTGTTCTCACGCAGCAGTAATGGTTGTCCCCCCCTCCCCCCCTCAGAATTTATACCCCATGGTTGGCGTTTAGTCAGACCCTTTGTATAAAAGGTGGCTAGGTAGTGGCGCTGCCTGAACACTTCTTTCTGTGCTCTATAATCCTATGATCTGATCCTCATCATCTTTGAGAGATCTAACTGTCACTAGAGATGAGATTCCTCCTGTGGAGTATGGGGTACTGACAAACCACGTGTCTGGGTTGCTGTTACATAGAATCCTAAGGGATATTACTTGAGAGGAGGTATTTTTCGTCCAGCCATTTTGATCTACCATTGTAAATACTCATTCCACTAAAATACATTTCCCCCTATAGACTGTAGTCCATTCATAGTATTTATATGATAGTATTAAAATGCTGTGCCTTCCTCAGTTCCATTTGGGACGTTTCCAAGTTCCTTTGCTTGGTTATTAGTTTCATTCAGTTACAGCTTTCTAGTTCTTGTGTTTCCCCTTAACTCAGTATTTCTTTGTAAGCCAAATTATATCTGATAAGAACCCTTGACTGACAAACTGTTCTACAAAAATGAAACACACAGCTGTTACTCTAACATGGTTATTAAAGGTGACCTACATTTCACTCTGTGTTTCGCTATTAATTAAAGATCTTTTACTCAGCCTTCCTGCCTTTCTTCATTAACATGGGTAGGCAGAACCTTCTCTGACAAAGCTGCCAACAAGGCCTAAACTTGTTTTTGTTGATAAAAGCCTATCAGAAAACAGGCAAGTTTCTTGTCATGGAACATAAAACAAGCATCGTATGACACTAATTTTCCCTTGCTGCTGACCTCTGCCACATGCGACTTAGAAGTCTGTTGTATTACTCTATTACACGCCTCCCCGAGGTGCATTATCCTGAAGGCCCTCATTGCAAGAATGTTTATTATTAAATAAAGGAATTTAGGAAAGCTAGAAATCTGTATCCCAGCCTTGCTTTTTCATAATTTCATAAAATAGGTAGCTAGAATGTACAGAATGCAATTCATTTTTTTATAAAGCTTCTTGTTCAGTGAGGAGCTGACATCAGCAGCCAAATTGACTGAGGAAAAATAAGTTACAAGAAATTGAAGCTGAGGAGTACAGACTGTGTGTTGAATGTTATAAAAGATTCCCTGCTTACAAAGTGGTTCTCTTGTGTTTTATAGAGGAGAAATGAACAGTGTATGTTATAGAGAAACACGTGAGAATAAGCACAGAAGTTTTGTGTGAATACTAGGATGAAAACAAAAGTCATTAAGCACCTGGAGGCATTTACTGAAAAAGAAATACCAAAACAAATATGGCTTGATGGTTTGCTGGTAAATGAACAATATAGTCATTTCACTACGTTGGAACAGCATCTACAATAAAAGGAGAAGTTTGCATTTATTTAGAAAGAGTGAGAGAAATTACATGCAAGATAAATTGGGAACATAGTGTGAATGCAGAATGTGCTTGACCTTGGAGGGATATAGGGAGGCAGGAATGACCTACAAACTAGTAGGAGGCAAAGTCTCCAAAGAATCTGTTTTTCTGATCAGACTTGATTGCAACCTCGCAAGCAGTGCCTGTCAGACTGAATGACAGCTCAGCCCGTAAAGACAGCAAAGCCAGAATATGGTAGAGACCTGTTAGATGCAAAGCTACCAGCTGTGCCTGTGAAGGTCGCTACCCTGCAGCTTGTGGGAGCTTGGAAGGGTGTTGTGAGAAACACGCTTGCCACAACAGTGGATTTCACTCAGCATGTGGTTTGGGCTGTTGTTGGCTCAGGACATTGGGCTGCATGGATCTGAGCTTTGGCGCTGTCTGCCTGTTCTCAATCCTTAGTCTTTGGCTGGTTTTATGCCAGAGAAAGGACAGTTTTCCTGCACTTGCAAATGTGCGTCACTGGGAGTAACAGCATTGCTAGCCCTGTCTGTTGTATTTCAAACGGTATTCGCTTCAACGTGCTGCCTGCCAGGTTCGTTTGATGCCTCCCATACTGGAGAGTGATCAGTAAATCCCTATTAATCTTTTCCCTGCCTCACTACACTTTTCCTCTGTCCCTTCTTTATAATGAAGTTTTCATGCTGTTTGTTTACCTCAGACTGATCTACTTCTTTTTTTTTTTTTTTTTTTTTTTTAATTTCTCACTGCAAACAAGGCTTTATTTTAGGATATTAATTCTGGACAGCTTTTGTCTGAGAATTTTGTATACCTTATAACAGTAGCACAGGGATTACTACTTCTGCGTTTGCGTTTTGTAAAAGTTTTGTGTAAGACCTTCCCGAGTGAAAGCAGGGAACAGTCTCCCAAAGGCTGGTCCTCCTGCTGCTGTCTGGTCCAGAGTGCATGGTGGAGGGTGCTCACGCTGTGGTGCCCAGAGACAGGCAGGCTCCTGCCCTGCCAGAGCAGCA